CGGGAGCCCGGCCGCCAGCCTGGCCTCGGCCGCGCGCCCCGGGCGAAGTTCTGGGGGCGGAGGCCCGCCCCGCGCGGGAGTCACCCCAACTTTCACCGACCCGAAAAATACTTCCCTGCTGGGGGGGAGGGGGCCGCGAGCAGGAGTGGCTTTTGTCCCTCATCCTTGTTTACCCGAGAAACTTCAGACCGGACGTGTTTAGTCAGAACAGAAATACATCTCAGGGCCAAACCGATAGGAAGCTGCCTCGCGGTGCCACCGCCACCCCCCAGCCTGGTTCTGAGCGCCGGAGGTGGCTCCTTTTCTCTCGAACCAAAGTTTTATGCAAACAGGATATTTTAAAAGTAATGGGGAAAACTTGAGATGCGCGGTGATTTTTTTTTTCTCTCCCCCTCCCCTTTTTAGGGCTCATAATTGGAAGGGTCTGCTCACTTAGACTCTTACCTGTTTATTCCCTATCCAGTACAGATCCACGAATTGGCAGCGTATTTTCTGATAATTTGGTTTTGTTGGTTAAAAATGGCTTTGTGGATTGTTTTAAAAATGGTTTAAATGACCAGCTAGATATTCAAAACAGGCAGATAGATATGGAATACTGTATAAGTATACCCTTGTTTCTAGACTTTTTGAGATCACACTAAAGGACCGTTTTTTGCTTGGCCTAGCCCCTTCTAGGAATTGGCTATCTCTGTCATGTTACCTGATTTTGTGGAGGTTGATGTCACTCTTGTTAAATAACCAGTACTTTAGTTTTCGTTTAGTCCCTGACTAAGTGTAAGCTCTCACCTCTTCTAAGTGTGCCTCAGTTTTATTGGTAACATCAAACATTTATTTTGTAGAAAAATAACTAAACATGGGCAAAGGAGATCCTAAGAAGCCGAGAGGCAAAATGTCATCATATGCATTCTTTGTGCAAACTTGTCGGGAGGAGCACAAGAAGAAGCACCCAGATGCTTCAGTCAACTTCTCAGAGTTTTCTAAGAAGTGCTCAGAGAGGTGGAAGGTAAGAGGGCTTAAAACATAATAACAAGATGATTAAAAGAAAAACATAATTTCCAAATTAAAATTTTTTGCTTTAAGCCTAGCTAGTGTTCTCATAATGTGAGGCAATTGAATGGGAAAGGACAGTAGTTTTATTCAGTAATGCTTTTGATAGTGAGGTATTAATATTTTGTGTGACTTAAGTTGGAAATGATTCTTTTGTAGACCATGTCTGCTAAAGAGAAAGGAAAATTTGAAGATATGGCAAAGGCGGACAAGGCCCGTTACGAAAGAGAAATGAAAACCTATATCCCTCCTAAAGGGGAAACAAAAAAGAAGTTCAAGGATCCCAATGCACCCAAGAGGCCTCCGTAAGTATCTTTTTTTTATTTTCCAGACGTGGTTTACAGTAGAATCTGATGGAAATTTAGCAAGCTACCTGTAAATTGGATACAGAATTATTCAATTCTTAGTTAATACTTCATATAATTAAAAATTAAGTAGGGTAAGTTGCAGGGGTCAGAGCATTTGTATTAAGACACTTAGCCTTCTTTGCCCAGTATCTCATAATCTTGATTCTTTTATTTCTTGAAAAGAATTATCACCTTGAAACAGAATTTGCAGAATGTTCTTCTGGAGCTCTAATATAAGTTAAATAATTATAATTTAATCTTTGGTTGTGGGAGATATTTAGCCTAATATTTGTACTCTGTCCAGTGCATGGTAGAAGTTGATAAGGCTGTTAATTAGGCAGTTTTTATATAACGCTGTATTTGAAATGATAGTATTTGTTTTGTGATTTACCAACGTTAACTTAGAATCCTAAAACTAAATTTCTCCTTTTAGTTCGGCCTTTTTCTTGTTCTGTTCTGAGTATCGCCCCAAAATCAAAGGAGAACATCCCGGCCTATCCATTGGTGATGTTGCAAAGAAGCTGGGAGAGATGTGGAATAACACTGCTGCAGATGACAAGCAGCCTTATGAAAAGAAGGCTGCAAAGCTGAAGGAAAAATACGAAAAGGTAAGTGTCGTTTGACTTGGTCTGATGATGGACGGGGGTATGCCAGTTGTTGAATGATGGTACTTAATACCTTATCTTAATTTCCTGTTTTCTTACAGATTTTCTGAAAGTTTGAGGTGTAGTAGTTTTTAGTGTGTAACAGCTACATTACGTATCCACTGACTTAGGTCCGTTTTCATTATTCATAGAATATGGAGGACCAAATAAATTGTTATTAGACTTAAAGGTCATACATTTAAGTTTATGTTGATACTCCACAGTATTTTCAAATTGATCAAAATTTTGGTTAGTCACTTTGAGTCAAAATAGTTTTTAAATGGTCAGGCATATAATATGAAAATGTTTTTTCATAAACATACCTTGAAATATTTGTTATCTTCCCTTTAGATGCTAAAAAAAAAAATCACAGCATCACTAAGTTAAACTTTAAGTCTGCCAGTTTCTATAGTACATTAAGATGAAGGAAATCTATAACTCTTGCACTTAATTTTTAGCTTGTTTAGTCATTCCAAAAAATATCTATTTCTAAATGTTTAACCTACTTGCATGCTCACAAGCAAGTTACTTTTTTTTTTTTTTTTTTTAAAGCATCATGTTCTGTGGATCAGGGTCTGACTATATAAACCTGTAGAATGCTTTTTTGCATTCAGAAGGTGGCAGTGTCTACCCTTTAATCAAAGTCCCTACGTTCTAGTTTTAATAAACTAGAGTTAGGATGTGGTACCTAATTGTACCTCAGTGAGCCATAACTTTGCAAATATTAGACCATACCATTTAATGATTTATAGGTTGCTATAATTACAATGATTGCATAGTATTTTAATATACATATCTTGACATTCTAGTTATTTCTGGAGTTGAGTGGATCTACATATGTGTGATATTTCAGTGTAACTGGTATCTTGGTTTTATTTTTAATATAATTTTATCATGTTACTTCTTTTTCTCTGCTTAACAATTTTTTTCTTTTCTACCATTTTTCTCATCCCTTTATTTTGGAAGGATATTGCTGCATACCGAGCTAAAGGAAAGCCTGATGCAGCGAAAAAGGGCGTCGTCAAGGCTGAAAAAAGCAAGAAAAAGAAGGAAGAGGAGGAAGATGAGGAAGATGAAGAGGATGAAGAGGAGGAGGAAGATGAAGAAGATGAAGATGAAGAAGAAGA